CATTTATTTCCGCAAGAGCTTATCCTATTTGCCTGTTGCTGAGGCAGAAATGGCTCTGTACTGATAGTCCTCAACTTACGACCACAATGAGGACCAGAATTTCTGTTGCTATGCAGGGCGATTGTTAAATGAGTCACACCTGATTTTACAACCTGTTTTTTGGTATTGTTGTTAAGTGAATCACTGAAGTTGTTAAGTGAATCGTGCGGTCGTTAAGCAAATCTGCTTTCCCCCGTGGATTTGCTTGTTGAAAGCCAGCTGGGAAGGTCTCAAATTTCGATGACGCGATGCTGGGATTCTGCAGCCATTCTAAATACATGCCGGTTGCCAAGCACCCAAATTATGGGATGCGGCAAAGCTCATTAGTGCAAGGACCACTATAAGTCACTTTCTTCAGTGCCGTTGTAACTTCAAATGTTTGCTAAACGAATGGTTGTAAGTTGTGGACTGCCTCTATGTTAAAGGGAGATTGGAAAATCACAAACAATAAAGCAGTTGGGGACAGCATTGCGAGTACACTGACAAAAATATTGTCATGTCTGTGCTTGAGAATAGAATAGAATAGAATAGAATAGAATAGAATAGAATAGAGCTGGAAGGGACCTTGGAGGTCTTCTAGTCCAGCCCCCTGCTCAAGCAGGAGAACCTACCATCTCAGACAAGTGACTGTCTACCTCTTCTTAAAAATCTCCAGTGATGGAGCACCCACGATTTCTGGAGGCAAGCTGTTCCACTGGTTGATTGTCCTCATTGTCAGGAAGTTTCTTCTTAATCCTAGGTTGTTTCTCTCTTTGATCAGTTTCCAACCATTGTTTCTCATCCTTCCCTCTGGTCCTCTGGTGAACAACCTGACCCCCTCTGCCTTGTGGCAGCCCCTCAGAATTTGCCACGCACGCATTGACAAGAGCCTGTAGAGCAGGGGTGGGGAACTACGGCCCCTTTAGGACCTGTGGACCCCTTCAGGACCTGTGGCTCAGGAATTCTGGGAGCTGAAGTCCACAGGTCATAAAGGGCCTACTGTAGAGAGTCAGAAGCTAGCTGAAGCTGGGAGAAGATTCACTGCCATTGGGACTGGCAGGAATCATTGACTACTCTAAACACATAAAGTTGTTCGTTAGGCTGCAGAAGGAGTTAATGACTTGGCAAGTCCGTGTTTGAAATATTGGATTGACCTACAAGGAAGAGTACAGCATAATTACCTGCATAGCAGAATATGCTTGTTGTAATGCTGCATGATTTGGCACACAGAACCCCCTTACTTTCCAAAACTGGTTATCCTTCCTGGATTCGGTGTGGCTCAATTGCTGAAATGCCCCAAGAGAGACCTGTTTAGCAGAAAGACTTGTCCATCTCTGTTTCCTCCCAGTTCCAGATTTTGCCTCCTGATATACATAAGGGTTGTTTATAAGGGTTTTCCCCGGTCTCCTTTTCGTTTCCTTCCTCAAAATGTCGCCTTGATTCGTGCCACGATCAATGGAATGGTGATGGCGACAATGACGGTGGACATTTTTTTAATGTCTTCAGAATGAAATATTTGCATTTGTAAAAATATAAGAATAGCCTTCCTGGATGGTCCAGCATTTCATTTGGGGGCTGATCCGATGCTTCTTAATAAATGGAGTTTTTAATCCCTTTTCTGTTAGTGCTTCCTTGCAACGGATATTTGAAGTCATGTCACCCCCGCTGCAATTTAGGACAGTCTGAATTTTCAAAACGGACAGCCTGTCGCTAAGTGATATGGTTGTGAAGTGCAACTTCACAGGACAGTGTTAGCAACAGCAGCTTTGGCATTTCCAGTTGTCGTTGATAAGCAAACCCTGTGATATCACGTGGTTGCCATTTGTGGCCTCCTGCAGGCTTCCCCAATGACTTTGCTGGTCGGTAGCGAGCATTGAAAGTTTATGATCCTGAGAATTGCAACAGTCATAATTGCAAACTGGTTACCAGGAGTCCAAATCGTGATCATGTGACTGCTGCGATGGCCGTAGCTTCAAAGACCAGCCCTAAATCTCCACATTCAGAGCCATCATAATTTCAGATGGTCACTGAACAAACGGTTATTAACCAAGGGCTACCGGTGAAACTCAAGTACCTCGGCCACCTAATGAGAAGGAAGGACTCACTGGAGAAGAGCCTCATGCTGGGAAAGATTGAGGACAATAGAAGAAGGGGACGACAGAGAATGAGGTGGCTGGATGAAGTCACTGAAGCAGTAGGCGTGAGCTTAAATGGACTCCAGAAGATAATAATAATAATAATAATAATAATAATAATAATAATAATAATAATAATAATAATAATAATAATAATAATAATAATAATAATAATAATGTTGGAAGGGACCTTGGAGGTCATCGAGTCCAACCCCCTGCTCAGGCAGGAAATCCTATACCATTTTGGACAAATGTCTGTCCAGTCTCTTCTTAAAAACTTCCAGTGTTGGAGCATTCACCGCTTCTGGAGGCAGGTTGTTCCACTGGTTAATTGTTCTAACTGCGATGGGTTGGACATGACTTCACAACTAACAACAACAACCGGTGCTATTAGTTAAAGTAGTTATTTATTAAATTATGTTCATGTCATAAATGTTGGGTGTCGATGAACAATCCAAAGCTTCATGAAGATGCTGATATGCAGCTAGAGAGTTTGAGGACCCCTCTTTTAGAGGGCGATAAGAAAAAATGGGGCTGAATCGCTCTATCCTCTGGACCGCGACTGATCTCAAAATGAAATCAAATCAGCATCGGAACTGATGTGTCTATGCGCTTAGTGGATCCCCAGAGAATTCCGAGGCTGTAAGCCAGGCTAAGAAATCAAAACGCCATCCTAGAAATAGGCAGCGCAAACGGCTTCTCTCTTTTGCCCGGAACTGGACTCAAGAGAGCCTTTAGGTTTATTTGAAATTCCACTTTTAGTTTTATTCTCCTCAGAGACCTCTCTAGCAGGGCTGAATTTAAACTTAGCTGTGGAAGTCTTCTGCCCTCTGCTGGTGGCTAGCACATTTACATGGCTGCCCCACTTCTGGTTTAAGCCTTCTCCGCAACTAGCTTTGTGGGGCTACGGATGGCACAGGGCAGGGGTCTGCAACCTTGACAACTTTAAGACTTGTGGATTTCATCTCCCAGAAGTCCTTAGTGGGAGATGAAGTCCACAAGTCTTAAAGTTGTCAAGATTGCAGACCCGTGGCACAAGGGGACCAGCAGTGACCAGCCTTCTTGAGACTCTGCTAAGCAGAAAAGGAGGAGGGCTTATGGTGCTGTCATCCTTGGCTCCCCAAGCAGTTGTCCATGGGTCACATGCAGAGTGATGCTTCAAAGTAGCTAAGCAGAGCCCTAAGCAGACAAGGTTTGCAGTTCAGAAAATTTGGATCATCAGAAGCTTTTCAATTTTGTTTACAGAAGAAATTGCCCATCTATTTCTTCATTCTTGTTTTCTTCCTTCCCCTTCCTTTCCCCTTCCCCTCCCCTCCCCTTCCTCTTCCTTTCCTCTTCCCTTCCCTTCCACTTCTGAAGTCACGCATACAACTTTGCCATTTCAAAAGTTGAAACAACCAATATAAATCAATTAAAAGCGATCATGGTGGGAAAGGGGTTATGTCACTTTTTTCAGTGCTGTTGTAACTCTGAATGGTCACTAAACGACTGGTTGTAATTTGAGGACTACCTGTAATCTGGATTCCCAGGAGGGAGGGGCTGCTTTCCAGAGGACCAAGAGGCAGCAAAGTTTCGACAATTTGGATGGGAGAAAGGCGGCTCCTTCCTCGAAATTCTCAAAATATATCTTTAATGATGCAAGCAGGAGCTTTAGTTCGGCAAGATTTCTGTCTATGAGTGAAGAACAATAAAGGAAACTGCTTAAGAAGTAACTGTACATGTCTTTCCTGGTTTTGAATGTCTGGCAGAACCACAACCAATAAAAGAACAGGCAACATCAGTCCCATAAATGAATTCACACCATATCCCAGCTCAGTGTCTGGTGAAAGAGCTTCATCTTTAAAGGTCTGTTGAAGGACAGCAGGTTGAGGCCAGATTCATCCTGATAGACAGGTGTCCAGCCTCTAAAGCAGAATATTTGTAGGGTTGAAATGAGGACTCCTTGGTGCTCTTTGATCTTGGTTGTTTTCTTGCAGACGTTTCATTACCCAAACTAGGTAACATCATCAGTGCTAGAGACTAGAATAGAATAGAATAGAATAGAATAGAATAGAATAGAATAGAATAGAATAGAATAGAATAGAATAGAATAGAAGGGACCTTGGAGGTCTTCTAGTCCAGTCCCCTGTTTAAGCAGGAGGACCTATACCATCTCAAACAGGTGATTGTCCAGTCTCTTTTTAAAAACCTCCAGTGATGGAGCACCCACGATTTCTGGTGGCAAGCTGTTCCACTGGTTGATTGTCCTCACTGTCAGGAAGTTTCTCCTTAATTCCAGGTTGCTTCTCTCTCTGATCAATTTTCAACCATTGTTTCTGGTCCTTCCCTCTGGTGCTCTGGTGAACAACCTGCCCCCCTCTGCCTTGTGGCAGCCCCTCAGATACTGGAACACTGCTATCATGTCTCCCCTATTTCTTCTTTTCTTTAGACTGGCCAAACCCAAGTCCCGCAGCCGTTCTTCGTATGTTTTAGCCTCCAGGCCGTTGATCACCTTAGTTGCTCTTCTCTGAATTTTTTCCAGACTCTCAACATCTTTTTTTGTGATATGGGGACCAAAATTGGCTGCAGTATTCGAGGTGTGGTCTAGCACTGATGATGTTACCTAGTTTGGGTGATGAAATGTCTGCAAGAAAAAAACCAAGTTCAGAGAGCACCACGGACCCCTCATGTCCAGTCTTGAGTCCTTGGTTCCAGAGCTGTGAAGATGCTTTTTTTCAAGGCTAATGGCATCTCCCTTCCTATAAACCTCAGCCTTGCAAACTTCATCTCTGTTGTATCATAATTGGGAAAAATATCTCTCTTGTTTGCTTTTACTTTCTTTTTCCCCCTTCTGACTCCTTCTTGCAGAACCCCTTCCATCTCCACATGGACCAATGCAGTGACTTTGAGACTCTCCTGGACCTGCTGGTCACCATCTTCCACGCCAACCGTTGGCAAGACGTCACCCTGGTTTTGTGTCAGGCGTGGGATGCCTCGGACTTCATTGATCTCTGGACCAGCCACGCCCACCTGGAGAAGACGGCTGTGATTGACTTGAGCTTCCTTGACGAGAAAGAAGCCGCTCGCCACCTTCGGCGGCACTTGGAGGAATACCGCGAATTGCCCGGCCCGGCTTTGCTTTTCGGCTGCAATGCTCAACTCTCCCAGCTCGTCTTTCGGATGGCGAAGGAGTTGGGGGTCACTCAGCAGTTCCACTGGATTTTGGGGCAACCCCAGAACGTGGATGAGCTCCAGACTGAAGGGCTGCCCTTAGGTCTTTTGGCCTTTGGGGAGGTGGACAGGCCCTCCATGGAACACTTCGTCCAGGATGCCATAGAGCTGGTCTCCCGTGCCATTTCCCGGGCTGTCTACGTTCGTCCTGACCTTGCCCTCATCCAGAGCATGGTGAATTGCAACGACAAACACGTCGTGGATTCTGAATCCTCTGGACTCTACCTTTCCCAGTGAGTAAGCCACTCTTGATTCTTGGATCCATAAGAGTGACAGATCCCTTCTCCCAGCATGCACGCATTTTTTGGTACAGGTAGTCCTCGACTTACGACCACAATTAACCCCCTATGAAATGCAGCTTTGCCCCATTTAACGACCTTTTTGCCTGAGTTATTAAGCAAATCACTGCAGTTATTAAGTGAATCCTGTGGCCATTAAGCAAATCTGGATTCCCCCATTAATTTGCTTGTCGGAATCCGGCTAGGAAGGTTGCAAATGGGGGTGACATGATCATGGGGCAGTGGAACTGTCATAAGTACATGCCAGTTGCCAAGCATCTCAGTTTTGATCACCTGACGGGGGGGAACCCTGCAATGGTCGTAAGCGTGAAAACCAGTCTGGCTTTCAGTGCCGTAGTAACTTCGACCAGTCACTAAATGAATGGTTGTAAGTCAAGGACTATCTGTATGCACTTGGCAAGACCAATGATATACCATGGACCTCCTTCCCTGAGGAAAAGAAATTCTTCAGGGGACTCATGCAGAGGTGCAAGAGGCAAGCATCCCTGAGGCCCGTTGTTAGATTGTGCTTCTGAATTTCCATCAGGTCTGCATGTAAGAAATTAAACAAGTCTGATCAATTAGAATTACGAGAGATGAAATCCCAATTTACCAACCTAGAGGGCACCAGGTTTATTATCTTTGATTTAAAGATGCCAAACCCAAATTGAAAGGGGGCCCATTAAAGCAGAGGTCCCCAACCTTTTGGGCACCAGGGACCGATTCCGTGGAGAAAGGTTTTTCCACGGACCTGAGAATGCATGGTTTTGGATGCTGCCTCCATCCCACAGATGGGGCTTTGCTTGTTTGCGTGGACCTGTTGCTGGCATGCCGCGGACCGGTACTGGTCCACGGACCGGGGGTTGGGGACCCCTGCATTAAAGGCTGCATAACAATACCCAAGGGCCACATATTGGTAACACCTTTCCTACCCAGCTAGTCCTCGACTTGTTTAACCACTGTTCAAAGTTAAACCACACTGAAAAAAGTGACTTACGACCTGCCCTCACACTTACAACAGTGTCTCTCTGGTCACATGATCAACATTTGGACATTTGGCAACTGGCATGTACTGTGACAGATGCAGCCTCCCGGGGTCATGTGATCGCCCTCTGCGACCTTCCCAGCTGGCTTGCAAGAAACAAAGTCAATGAGGGAAGCTGGATTCACTTAGAGCAGGGGTCTTCAAACTTGGCCCTTTTATGACTTGTGGACCTCAACTCCCAGAATTCCTCAGCCAGGCACGCGTGCCTGGCTGAGGAATTCTGGGAGTTGAAGTCCACAAGTCATAAAAGGGCCAAGTTTGAAGACCCCTGACTTAAAGTAAGAACTACATGTTTCATTTAACAGTTGCAGTGACTCGCTTAATAACTGGGGCAAAACGGTCATAAAATTGGGCACAATTCACTTAACAACCGCCTGGCATAGCAACGGAAATTCCAGTCTCAACTGTGGTCTTAAATCGAGGACTAACCTATGTTCCATTTAGGGAGCTCCTATCACAGGCTCCAAGCAACCTGTGCTGCAGCAATTAAGTTCCAGCAGCAATTAAGCTTGTGCAAGACTCTGCATAAATCACAGATTTAGTGTTTTGGCAATCGGTGGCCAAATTTATTATTTAGTTTTAAAATGTATATTGTCCATGCTTTGCTATGTTATTATTTTATTTTCTTAAATATTATCCAGTTGTGTTTTAACCTGCTTCGGGCCGTGTGTTTGACACCTGTGATTGCAACCATAATAAAGCCTTCTACCAATTAGCAGCAGAGCATTTTACAAACTCAGGAATCAAGATCACATGATGTGTTAGTGCCACTTTATAAAGCCTTGGCAAGACCACATTTGGAATATTGCATCCAGTTTTGGTGGCCACGATATAAAAAAGAGGTCGAGACTCTAAAAAGAGTGCAGAGAAGAACAACAAAAATCATTAGGGGACTGGAGGCTAAAACATATGAAGAACGGTTGCAGGAATTGGGTTTTTCTAGTTTAATGTAAAAAAGGGCTAAGAGGGACATGATAGCAGTCTTCCAATATCTCAGGAGCTGCCACAAAGATGAGGGGGGGGGTCAACCTATTCTCCAAAGCACCTGAAGGCAGAACAAGAAGCAATGAATGGAAACTAATCAAAGAGAGAACAATTCCAGAAATAATGAGAAATTTCCTGACAGAACAATTAATCAGTGGGACGACTTCCCTTCAGACGTTGTGGGTGTTCCATCACTGGAGGTTTTGAAGAAGTGATTGGACAGCCCTATGTCTGAAGTGATATAAAGTCTCCTGCTTGAGCCAAGGGTTGGACTAGAAGACCTCCAAGGTCCCTTCCAACTCTGCTATTCTATTCTATTCTATTCTATTCTATTCTATTCTATTCTATTCTATTCTATTCTATTCTAGTCCAGCCCAGCCCAGCCCAGCCCAGCCCAGCCCATTATTCTATTCCATTCCATTCCATTCCTCCAAGGTCCCTTTCAACACTGTCATTCTGTTATCCTGATTCCTGCTTTTCTCTCTCTCTCCATATTCCAGGTTTTTAGCCAACACATCTTTCCGTGGCCAGACCGGCGAGGTCTTTGTGCACAACACGTCCCACGTCCACACTGACCGTCACTACAAAATCTGGAGCCTGCTGAGGGATTCGGTGGGCCAGCCCACGTGGGTGACGGTGGGCAGCTGGAAGGGGGGCGAGATGGAGGCCGAGGAGGGCAGCTGGCCGCAGCACCTGCAGCGCAGGAACCAGGCCGAGGGCGGGGGCTTCTCACGCATGAAGCTGCGGGTGGTGACCTTGGTGGAGCACCCCTTTGTCTTCATCCGGGAGGTGCGTAGGTATATTGGATACATGGAGGCACCTGCTGAGTGCAGCAGAACATCCAGATTCAGCCATAGTTTCATTCCATACAAAATTAACCTTGGGAACTCTCAAGCTTCCTCCTTCCGTTATATATTCAAGATGGACAGTATTTAATATTTATTTGCTACGTATACATAGGGGTGTGGGTCTATACATATGTTGTATGTAGTATGTTTTAGATATGTGTCATGTATGTGTTTCACTTTGACAGCGGGCAACTAATTTTCATTTTTGATGTGTGCCGTTGTGCCCACAGTAAAAAAATGACAATAAAGGTTATCTTATCTTAAAAAATATATAAAATTGTGCAACATATAACAGTCTTTGATTAACTTGGCATTCTCCAGATCTGCTGATTACAGATACCTAGTCTTCAACCCTTTGTTTAGTGACCATTTGAAGTTACAATGGCACTGAAAAAAGTGACTTTTGACTGTGTTTCACACTTACAACCGTTGCAACATCCCAGTGGTCATATGATCAAAATTTGGACACCCGACAACTGGCATGTATTTATGGTGATTGCAGTGTCCCAGGGTCATGTGATCATCATTTGTAACAAACAAAAGTCAGTGTGGAAGCCCGATTTACTTAACATCCGTGTTACTGATTTAACAACTGCAGCGATTCATTGAACAACTGTAGCAAAAAAAAAAGATCAATGGGGGCAAATGGGGCAAAACTCACTTAACAGCTGTCTGGCTTAGCCACATAAATTTTGGGCTCAGTTGAGGACTACCTGAATAACATAGAGAAGATCAGATTGGCTGGGAACAATGGATGTTGTAGTCCTGCACATTTAAACAGAGCCAGATGGGGAGCACAGATGTATGGTCTCTTTCTGGTGCAAATTGAGATATGACACCAAAACATGATGAAATAGGCATCAGTATACAGTATTGCAATGCAAACTGCAGCCTTTCTGACGTGCATCCCAAAATAGCACACAAGTACATACAGGTAGTGCTCACTTACCGACTATTCATTCAGCAATCATTCTCCCGTGTTTTCCCAAAAGTAAGGCCTACCCCAAAAATAAGCCCTACCTTGACTTTTGGGGGTGGGCCTAATATAAGCCCTAACCCAAAAATAAGCCCTAGTTTTGGGGTGAGGCGCACGCCTAAAAATCAAGCTAGGGCAGGGGTGGGGGTGTAGAACTGCCCCCCTGCATCCCGTACCCACTTACCTGGTAGCCAGGCCTCTCCTCGCCGGCCCACTTCTTCTGCGGCGTCCCCAGGCCTGCATTTCGCAGTCAGGCCTTCCCGGAAGACCTCTGCAGCCGAGAACCGAGCTATAAATTGAATCCAGGCCTGAGCTCCATTCAGTGCTGCAGGATGAAGTTGCTCCTTTGGCAGCAGAAAAAGTGGGCTGGCTGGGTGGGGCTGTTGGTGCCGAGGTGAGTGGAAAAGGCCCCCCTCCAAAAAATAAGGCCTGATGCCTCTTGGAGGCAAAAAGAAAATTAAGACTGGGTCTTATTTTTGGGGAAACACTGTAAGTCTATTTGCCTAATCCAGGGGTAGGCAACCTTGGCTCTTTTATGACTCGTGGACTTCAACTCCCAGAATTCCTGAGCCAGCCATGCTGAGGGAAAAGGTAGAGGTGAGCTGAGCCATGCTGGCTCAGGAACTCTGGGAATTGAAGTCCACGAGTCATAAAAGAGCCAAGGTTGCCTACCCCTGGCCTAATCCATTTGGAGGGAGCTAGGACTAAAAGGTTTTGGAGGTTGTCAAGTTGGAGAGGGCTGATCTCCAGATTTCTCCTTTTATTTCCTGCTTTATATTCAAAAGGTATTAATTAAGTGCTCTTTCCAGGTAGACGAAGAGGGCAACTGTCCAGCAGGGCAACTCTGCCTAGATCCTCACACCAACGACTCCTCCGTGCTCAACACCCTCTTTGAGGAGCTGGATTCGGAGAATGGCTCGGTGCCCATGGAGTACCGAAAGTGCTGCTACGGCTACTGCATCGACCTCTTGGAGAAGCTGGCCGAAGACGTGCCCTTTGACTTTGACCTCTACATTGTGGGGGATGGAAAGTACGGGGCTTGGAAGAACGGCCGCTGGACGGGGCTGGTAGGAGATCTCCTGAGTGGCACGGCCCACATGGCGGTGACCTCCTTCAGCATCAATTCAGCCCGGAGCCAAGTGATTGATTTCACCAGCCCTTTCTTCTCCACCAGCTTGGGCATCCTGGTGAGGATCCGGGACACGGCATCGCCCATCGGGGCCTTCATGTGGCCATTACACTGGACCATGTGGGTGGGCATCTTCGTGGCTCTTCACATGACGGCCCTCTTCCTCACCTTGTATGAGTGGAAGAGCCCCTACGGCATGACGCCCCATGGCCGCAACCGCATGAAGATCTTCTCCTACTCCTCCGCCCTGAACCTCTGCTATGCTATCCTTTTTGGCCGCACCGTCTCCAGCAAGACCCCCAAGTGCTGGACGGGCCGTTTCCTCATGAACCTCTGGGCCATCTTCTGCCTCTTAGTCCTTTCCAGCTACACAGCTAACCTGGCCGCAGTGATGGTGGGCGAAAAAACATTTGAGGAACTCTCTGGGATTCATGACCCCAAGGTGGAACAAATACTTCCTTTCTCTTGCTCTTCTTTCACCGTGCCCTACCTAGTCTCCCTGTCTTACGTTCTTCTCCATCTTCTTTCCTTTCCTCCAAATTTCTTCCCTGTCTCTGCTTTCCTGTGTCCCATTGTTGTGCTTGTCTTCCCTTCCATCACCTTCCAGCTTTGTGGACCACTAAAAAAAAAGAACAGTTATGTTGCATCTAACCAAAGTTTGTTGTTAATAATAATAATAATAATAATAATAATAATAATAATAATAATAATAATAATAATAATAATAATAATAATAATAATAATAAAGTTGGAAGGGACCTTGGAGGTCATCGAGTCCAACCCCCTGCTCAGGTAGGAACCCTACACCACTTCAGACAAATGGCTGTCCAGTCTCTTCTTAAAAACTTCCAGTGTTGGAACATTCACCACTTCTGGAGGCAGGTTGTTCCATTGGTTAATTGTTCTAACTGTCAGGAAATTTCTCCTTAGTTCTAGGTTGCTTCTCTCTTTGATTAGTTTCCACCCATTCCTTCTTTTCCTGCCTTCAGGTGCCTTGGAGAATAGCTTGACTCCCTCTTCTTTGTGGCAGCCCCTGAGATATTGGAACACTGCTATCATGTCCCCCCTCGTCCTTCTCTTCGTTAAACTAGACATACCCAATTCCAGCAACCGTTCCTTATATGTTTTAGTCTCCAGTCCCCTAATCATCTTTGTTGCTCTTCTCTGGACTCTTTCTAGAGTCTCAGCATCTTTTTTACATCGTGGTGACCAAAACTGGATGCAGTATTCCAAGTGTGGCCTTACTCCGGGTTCCTCCCCTTGATGTTCCCGGATGATCAAACCCTCTGAGAAGCCTGCAAATCCTCTCCCTTGTTATTTACCCCAACAGCAGACACTTAGTGGTAGACTACAGATAGTCCTCAACTTACAACAGTTCATGCAGTGACCATTCGAACTTAACAATGGCACTGAAAAAAGTGACTTGTGACCATTTTTACACTTATGACCGTTGCAGAATCCCCGTGGTCATAAAATTCAGATGCTTGGCAACTGACTCATATTTATGACAGTTGCCATGTCCCAAGGTCATGTGATCACTTTTTGCAACTTCTGCAAGCAGAGTCCATGGGAATGTCAGATTCACTTAACAACGGTGTTATTGATTTAACAACTGCAGTGATTCATTTAACAACGGTAGCAAGAAAGGTTATTAAAAACTCACTTCGCTGTCTCATGTAGCAACAAAAATTTTGGGTTCAATTGTGGTCGTAAGTCAAGGACTATTTGTATATCTTGAAACAGAAGCCCCAAGTACCTCTTTGCATATCTCCACTCATCTTCCTCTTCCTCCATGAATTTATTTAGTCCCTTTTTTAAAACCTGTGACATTTCTGTGACGTCTTGAGATGGTGAAATCTTGCATGACTGTCTGCTTGGGGGAAGATTCCTAATGCCAATTTCAGTTTAACCTAGTAATCCAATGAGATCAGAATGGAAAAAAGAAACTTTCCCCCCTTTTTCTCACACTCTGAATAGTATTTAAAAACCTATGTTTTTATTATGTTTTGGTTGATTTCCAAAGCACTGGAGGGCAGTAGAAGAAGCAATGGATGGAAGCTTATTAGAGCTCCAGTCTAGAATGAAGGAAAACTTTCCTGACGGTGAGAACAATTAACCAGTGGAACGGCTTGACTCCAGAAGTGGTGGGTTCTTTTATCACTGGAGTAGAGATTGGACAGCCATTTGTCTAGAATGGTATGAGCAGTGGGTGGACTAGAAGACCTCCGAGGTCCCTTCCAACTCTGTTATTCTGCATTCCCCCTAAATCAGTGGTTCTCAACCTGTGGGTCGGGACCCCATTTGGGGTCGATCGACCATTTCACGGGGGTCGCCAAGCAAGGCTGTCCGCCATTCTTTTTGTCCGCCATTTTTTTTGTCCGCCATTTTTTCCCCCCTTTTCCGGTGGGTGCCTTACCTCCCTTGAGCTGGGCCAGCTGGTGGTCGGCCTGCTCCGTCTCTGCCACTTGCCAGCTACGCCTCGGCCGGCGCAGGGGGCGGAACCTCGCATGCGCGGCGCTCCCGGGCAGGGAAAGTCCTCGACTTACGACCGGTTGGGTAGTCCTTGACTTACGACCGGTTTAGTCCTCGATTTACGACCAGTTTAGTCCTCGACTTACGACCGGTTTAGTCCTCGACTTACGACCGGTTGGGGTCGCGGCATTAAAAAGGTTGAGAACCACTGCCCTAAATTAAAATTTTAATCTTCAGTCCGAGAGTTGCTTTCATCTCTTGAAATGCCAGAAGACAATCCTGCAGGCCTTTTTTTTTCCCCCTGTTCTCAAATCCTCTGTGAGGTTTGTCACCCTTCTGTTGCTGACACGTTCTCATTTGAGAACATCCCATGAAACCACATCCTTTCCCTTTTTCTGCTTTATCCACCCTCCATTTCTTTCCCTTCTTTTATCCTCCCACCCTGATTTCCCGTTGCAATCGTTTAAAAGAATGTTCAGATTAAAAGAAAAGAATTCCACTCCCTCTTAAAAACAACAACACCAAATCTAGGAGCAGATGGGTCTTATCCCGGTTTTGCTTTCTGCAGCTCCACCATCCGTCCCAGGGTTTTCGTTTTGGCACCGTCTGGGAGAGCAGCGCAGAGGAATATATCAAGAAGAGCTTCCCAGACATGCATGAATACATGAGGCGGCACAGCGTCCCCACCACCCCTGCGGGGATCACGATGCTCAAGTAAGGGAGGCGTGGCCTGGGGAAGGACAATTCGGGGTTGGGGGGGAAGTGATGTTGGTGTTGTGGTGGGTTGGCATCTCTTCCAGTTGTAGTTCCTGCCTTTTGGGGCCACTTGTCTAATTTCAAAAGGTTTCTGCAGGAAACCACTTGAAACATCTGGAGATGTTTCTCCTTAAGGACCTGGTCAATTGTTTGCTTGAGAGGAGGCTAAGATCATCCCTCTCTCCAGTCATCTGTGCTGTGCTAATAGGTAGAACCTCAAAAGCCTGGACTGGGGACTGAGTTCTAGTCTCCCTTCAGCCATGGAAGACCCCTGGAAGACCTAGGGCCAACTCCTCTCTCTCACCCCAACAGCCACTCTGGTCCAGTGCTGAAGGTCCTGGACCAAGAACAGGGAGATCCAGGTTCTTGTCCCACCTCAGGACTACCTATACCAGGGGTAGGCAACCTTGGCTCTTTTATGACTCGTGGACTTCAACTCCCAGAATTCCTGAGCCAGCCATGCTGAGGGTAAAGGTAGAGGTTTCCAAGCTGAGCCATGCTGGCTCAGGAATTCTGGGAATTGAAGTCCACGAGTCATACAAGAGCCAAGGTTGCCTACCCCTGGGCTAGTGCCTCTCAGCCCAAAGCCAGGTGGTCCAGTGGAGAGGATGCTGGACTAGAGCAGGAGAAGTCCCTCCTCAGCTAAAGAAGCTCCTTGGGGGACTTAGGCCTACCCTCTTCTCTCAGCCCAGCCTACCTCAGCTCACCAGATTATTCTTGCACGGGGAAATGAGAAAAGGAAGAGCGAAGGAGCTCCCGAATAATGAAAGGTGGGCTATAAGTCACATCCTTCAAAGAAAGAGGCAAGTCTAACTAAGCATTCTGCTTCTGTTATACTTTCCCCCTTGACAGCCCACTGCTGCACATGAGGAACGATGGGTTACCATCCTTCCTCCGTCCCCTCCCCCACTGTTCACATTTTACCAACTTGATTGGGCCAGGAAGATAGATTTTTGTGCAGGTCACACGTTGAGACAGATTACGAGGATCTTACCAATTAATCATTATATTGTATTAAAACCCCATTGTGTTTGCTGAGGTAATGTCACTGAGATTTGTTCTTGGGCATCTGTAAGTCTTAAGGAAGCAATACAGGTAGTCCTTGACGTATAACCATTTACTTACTTAGGCGACCGTTTGAAATGGCGAAAGCACTGAAAAAAGTGACTTGTGACTCGGTCTTGCCCTTACGACTGTCATAGCATCCCACACGGTCACAGGGTCAAAATTCAGCCACTTGGCAACCAGCAGGGATTTATGACCGTTGCACTGTCCTGGGATCATGTGATCACCATTTGCGACCTTCCCAGCTGGCTTCCGACAAGCAAAGTCAACACGGAAGGAATTGCGAAGAGGTGCTCCCTTAATGACCCGTGATCCTCACTTAACAACGGCAATGAGAACGCTAAGTGATGCAATCAGGTCATGTCTTACAACCACATCTCTTAGCAACCGAAATGTTGGTTCCAACCACCTTCGTAAGTCGAGGACTACTTGTCATATGAGAGGGGGGAGAGAGAGAGAGGGAGAGGGAGAGGAAAGAGAAAGAGGGAGAGAGAAAGAGAGAGAGAGAGGGAGAGGAGAGAAAGAGAGGGAGAGAGAGAGGAAAGAGAAAGGGAGAAGAAAGAAAGGGAGAGAGAGAGGAAGGAGTGAGAGAGAAAGGGAGAGAGAGAGAAAGAAAGAAAGAGAGAGGGAGAGGAAAGAGAAAGGGAGAGAGAGAGAGGAAAGAGAGGGAGTGAGAGAGGGAGTGAGACAGAGAGAAAGAGGGAGAGAGAGAGAAAGAGAGAGGACCTGCCTCCATTTCCCTACCAAGAAAGCAGAACTCTTCAAACTTGCATCATTTCAAAAGGAACTTTTATTGGCAGGTACAGACAGCAGGAAAGCTAGGCAGGATCTGAGGGTTTCCCGCCCGAATTGAAAGGTAAAACCCGTATAATAATAACCCCACCCCAACTGTCCGTCTGGTCAGTTCAAACAGGCCAATCCATAGGTGACAATGAACCGTGTGAAACAGACCGATAAGGCGCCTCTCTCATCGCAGTTTCTTCCCTCTGCACCGAGATAAGGCAGATGGCCCCGAGGCATTCTTCTCACACCGCGGAGAGGATACATCAAAGCAGACAGAGGAAGCATGTAGAACCCGACAGCTTAAACACAAAGAATATCTGAAGTGGAGGAATGAATAAATGAGGGTTCTGATAGAGAGAGAGAGATGCTCTGAAAGTTGTAAATGCAGGCATTGATTGCAAAGTTACTTTTTCATCACTGTCATAGCAGTCGCTGAATGAGGACTACCTGTAGACCTAATTAATGTTGCCCAGCTTAATGGCAGCTTGTTTCTCCTCACCAGGACCACCCCCCCAAAGCTGAATGCCTTCATCATGGATAAATCTTTGCTGGAATACGAGGTCTCCATTGATTCAGACTGCAAACTCTTAACCGTTGGAAAGCCGTTCGCTATTGAAGGTATGGCAAAAACATCTGGATTGAGGCAGAGCAAGGAAGGGATTCGGTAGCCAAATGAGGCCTTAGTCCAGATTGGCTCATTCTGTTAAAAACGGGTATCCTCAATCTTTAAGCGTGAAAAATTAAAACTAAGAAAATGCATAAATATTTCTCCTTTTATGGAGAATGTGACTTTAACTAAGAGCCGTGGTGGCGCAGTGGCTAGAAGACAGTATTGCAGGCTAATTCTGCCCACTGCCAGCAGTTCAATCCTGACCAGCTCAAGGTTGACTCAGCCTTCCATCCTTCCGAGGTCGGTAAAATGAGGACCCAGATTGTTGGGGGTGGGGGGGAATAGACTGACTCCGTAAACCGCTTAGAAAGGGCTGTAAAGGACCATGAAGCGGTATATTGGTAAATCTAAGTTCTAGTGGCAATGCTATTACTTAATTTTTATAATGCTTTCCCAGGAGGCTCCAAAAGATAATTATGCATTGGTTCATGAAATACTTCACTTTGTATCTAGAAACCTGAGTGTAAAAATAGGAGCATTCGCAGTGTGTGTGTATGTGTGTGAGTTAAGATTGTGGTCTTGATTATGTGGCCATAGCCACCATCTTGACTTTTTTGATCCTCTTGACCTCCCGTGTCAAAATAATGCCGGCTTCACCACAGTTGATAGCGTGTGATAGCAAAAGGAAGCCAATGGCTCTTCCGGTGTCTGTGGTGAAAGGGAAGGTTTTAATAATAATAATATAATAATAACAACAACAATAACAGCAGCAGCAACAACAACAAGAACAAGAACAACAACAATAACAATAATAATAAAACAACAACAACAACAACAACAATAACAATAATAATAATAATAATAATAATAATAATAATAATAATAATAATAATAAAGTTGGAAGGGACCTTGGAGGTCATCTAGTCCAACCCCCTGCTCAGTCAGGAAACCCTATACCATTTTGGACAAATGGCTATCCAGTCTCTTCTTAAAAACTTCCAGTGTTGGAGCATTCACCACTTCTGGAGGCAGGTTGTTCCACTGGTTAATTGTTCTGTCAGGAAGTTTCTCCTTAGTTCTAGGTTGCTTTTCTCCTTGATGAGTTTCCATCCGTTGCTTCTTGTCCTGCCGTCAGGCGCTTTGGAGAATAGCTTGACTCCCTCTTCTTTGTGGCAGCCTCTGAGATATTGGAACACTGCTATCCTGTCCCCCCTCGTCCTTCTCTTCATTAAACTAGACCAGTGATGGCGAACCTATGGCACGGGTGCCAGGGGCGGCACTCAGAGCCCTCTCTGTGGGCATGCGTGTCGTCGCCCCAGTCCTAGGCCTTCAGCTGGGTTTTATAAAACCTTTTCGCTTTAGGCCTCCGCCGCCGTGTGCAAAAAAAAGGTTCAATCAATCAGTCAATTTCAACTTCTTGCGGGAAAAAAAAAGATGTTGCAAAGTTGGAATTGATTGATTGAACTTTTTAGTCCCACCCAGTCTGCTATTACCACCACAGCCACACCCAGCCAATGGGCCACACCCACCCAATTGGCCACACCCAGCCAATGGGCCACACCCACCCGGCACCCGACGATGCATAAGTGGGTTTTGGGTTGCAATTTGGGCACTTGGTCTCTAAAAGGTTCGCCATCACTGAACTAGACATACCCAATTCCAGCAGCTGTTCCTTATATGTTTTAGCCTCCAGTCCCCTAATCATCTTTGTTGCTTTTCTCTGTACTCTTTCTAGAGTCTCAACATCTTTTTTACATCGTGGTGATCAAAACTGGATGCAGTATTCCAAGTGTGGCCTTACCAAGGCATTGTAAAGTGGTATTAATACTTCATGTGATCTTTTCTCTGTGCATGTTCTGTACTGAAGCCCCAAAGGTGCTGTTCAAAAGGAAACTGGACTTTCCAGTCACTGATTTCCTGCAACAAGGCAGTAGCCGCATTACTAACTGCCTTTATCCTGGGAAAGCCACTCCATGCCTATATGAGCTCCCCCAAAACCCCACCAAGAGGGAACTCAGACCAATGGTCAGCGGCTTCAACTCGGCCCCTTCCAACGTCGCAAAACGTCTGACCACTTTATAACAAGAAAGATCCAAATTGCCTTTTGAGCAGCACCTTTGGGACAACCACGACCTGGACGACTGAGAGTCTCCGTAGACCTTCTGGATGGCGAGTAAAAGCTTTCTCCTCTTTTACACCCCTCCCAATTCTCTCGGACTGTGCCAGGCTACGGCATCGGCCTTCCTCAGAACTCGCCTCTGACCTCCAACGTCTCCGAGTTCATCAGCCGCTACAAGTCGGCCGGCTTCATGGACCTCCTGCACGACAAATGGTACAAGATGGTGCCCTGCGGGAAAAGGGTCTTTGCTGTTACTGAGGTATGGAGGCTCTGCGGGAAAGAGCTTCCCCTCCTTGCCTGCTCCACCCCTTTGATTTCCTGATGCCCCTAGGGCAGGGGTAGGCAACCTCGGCTCTTTTATGACTCGTGGACTTCAACTCCCAGAATTCCTGAGCCAGCACGGCTCAGCTTGGAAACCTCTCCCTTTCCCCTCAGCATGGCTGGCTCAGGAATTCTGGGAGTTGAAGTCCACGAGTCATAAAAGAGCCGAGGTTGCCTACCCCTGGCCTAGGATGCGCTAATAATGCACTGGCAAAAGGCCGTTGCCCCAAGCAACTCTGGAGGAGGCACCTTTCCAAAATGCCAGAATACGTAGACAAGTATTCCGAGAGGTTTGCCATGCCTCCTCCGTCTTTGTCCACACGGGCATAGCGAACACGAGGAGTTGTGTTTCCAAATCTGGAACGTTCCCATTGGGGTTAATCCTGCCCGTGTTCCTTCTTTCCCCCCATCGCTCCCAGACTCTGCAGATGGGGATCTACCACTTCTCCGGCCTCTTTGTCCTCCTTTGCATCGGACTCTGTGGCTCCCTGCTCACCTCCCTCGGAGAACACGTCTTTTACCGACTCATCTTGCCTCGCATTCGGCGCAAGAAGAAATTCAATTATTGGCTCCATACCAGCCAGGTGAGGGATAATCTCGGAGACGTGCGTATCATCTCAGGGTGGAGGGGGGATGTCTCGTTTCGTTCGGAAAGAAAGCAGGAAGTCCTTGACTTACAGCCATTCGCTTAGTTCGAAGTTACAGCAGTACTGAAAAAATGTGACTTATAAGCAATCCTCACATTTATGATTGATTGATTGATTGATAGCCCACCTTTATTACTTTTACAAATAACTCAAGGTGGCAAATGTCTCCAACAAAACTTTCTCCTCCCTGTGAGCTGAGAGAGATTACTGTTGCAGCATCCCTGCAGTCATGTGATGAAAATTTGGGCACTTGGCAACTGGCATGTACTTATGACGGTTGCACTGGTCACGCACTGGGCTCAGGCGTTCACCATTTGTGACCTTCCCAGCCGGTTTCTGATAAGCCAGAGTCAATAGAGGAAACCAGATTTGCTTAACAACCATGATTCACCTAACAACTGCAGTGATTTGGTTAAGAGTCGTGGTGGCGCAGTGGTGAGAAGGCAGTATTGTAAGCTAATTTTGCTGACTGCCGGCTGCCAACAGTTCGGCAGTTCGATTCTCACCAGCTCAAGGTTGACTCAGCCTTCCATCCAAAAAATGTCATAAAATGCAGTCATGTGACTGCAGGACGCCATAAATGTGGCTCGGCTACATGTGCCCAAAGTGCAGTTATGTGCCTGCAGGGAGAGGGGTAACTTCAGACCTTCTAATCCAGGTTGTAGAAAGCCCTGGTGGCGCAGTGCTTAGAAGGCAGTATTGCAGGCTAACTCTACCAACTGCCAGCAGTTCGATCCTGACCAGCTCAAGGTTAACTCAGCCTTCCATCCTTCTGAGGTCGGTAAAATGAGGACCCAGATTGTTGGGGGGCAATAGGCTGAGTCTGTAAACCACTCAGAGAGGGCTGTAAAGCACTGTGAAGCGGTATATAAGTCTAAGTGCTGTTGCTACCGTATTAATAACTGTGGCAAAAAAGATTGTAAAATCGGGTGCAACTCGTTTAATAACTGCCTTGCTTAGCGGTGGAAATTCTTGCGGCAGTTTTGGTCATAAGTCGAAAACTACCTGTTCTAGAGCTCATGTGCTGCTTCTAAGGCTTCCCATAGTTTTCTGTTTGTTTTTACAATCTGAGAAAAGGAGACAGCTTGAGAAAAATGATTTAAATCAGTGGTTCTCAACCTTTTTAATGCCGCGACCCCAACCGGTCGTAAGTCGAGGACTAAACCGGTCATAAGTCGAGGACTAAACCGGTCGTAAGTCGAGGACTACCCAACCGGTTGTAAGTCAAGGACTTTCCCTGCCCGGGAGCGCTGCACATGCGTGGTTCTGGCCCCTGCACCGGCCGAGGCGTAGCTGGCAAGCAGCAGAGATGGAGCAGGCCGACCACCAGCGGGCCCAGCTCAAGGGAGATAAGGCACCCACCGGAAAAGGGGGAAAAAATGGCGGACAAAAAAAATGGCGGACAGCCTTGCTTGGCGACCCCCATGAAATGGTCGATCGACCCCAAATGGGGTCCCGACCCACAGGTTGAGAACCACTGATTTAAATGATTTTAAAAGCATGTGCAGAACCAAGACCATTTATTTATTTATTTATTTATTGCATTGATGCCGCAGTCGAATGACAGATGGGAAGGGCAGGGGCAGGATGGAGGGAAGTGGATTCTGTGGTTAATCAATCAATCAAACGCCTCCACGGTGATGGGAGGAGATATTTTTAAAATGTTGCTAAAATGCGAGATAGAGGCAGCACGAGTTAAAAGTGGCATGATAAAATGGGTGAAACGTTTGAGAGAAATAATTACAGTGGAGCAAAGCCATGAATAATAACAACGTTTGTGCGACTGGGACTCTCCTCCCAATTTTTTTTTAGAAAAGTTATTATTCCCAATTATTTTTCTTCATTGTTACAAATCTCCGGAGCCTTTATTTCTTTGTGATTTTTATATGCATAACCCAGAAAATACACCGGGCTCTAAACATGGGACTGGAGGAACAGAGGCTCAAGAAGCTGAATTTGGAGAAAAGGTAAATTCTTTTCGCATCAGCTGTTCTGAACTGGTTTGCCAACCCAGGCCACATTACAGGTAGGCCTCGTGTGATGCTTGTAAAGCGTCTGGCCCGATTTTATAACTTCCTTCCCTCCTTCCTTCCTTCCTTCCTTCCTTCCTTCCTTCCTTCCTTCCTTCCTTACTTACTTTTTATTATTTATTTGTTTATTTGTTTATTTGTTTATTTGTTTATTTGTTTATTTGTTTATTTGTTTATTTGTTTATTTGTTTATTTGTTTATTTGTTTATTTGTTTATTTGTTTATTTGTTTATTTGTTTATTTGTTTGTTTATTTATTATGGAAGAAGAGAGTTGGAAGGGATCTTGGAGGTCTTCTAGTCCAACTCCCTGCTCGGGCAGGAAACCCTATTTGAGGGGCTGCCACAAAGAAGAGGGAGTCAAGCTATTCTCCAAAGCACCAGAGGGCAAGACAAGAAACGATGGTTGGAAACTAACGAAAGAGAGAAGCAACCTGCAATTAAGGAGAAAGTTCCTAACAGTGAGGACAATTAACCAGTGGAACAGCTGGCCTTCAGAAATCGTGGGCGCTCCATCACTGGAGGTTTTTAAGAAGAGACTAGACATTCACCTGTCTGAAATGGTATCTGTTCTCCAGCTTGAGCAAGGGGCTGGACTAGAAGACCTCCAAGATCCCTTCCAGCTTCTATTCTATTCTATTCTATTCTATTCTATTCTATTCTATTCTATTCTATTCTATTCATTTCAGATAAGTGAATCACCATGGTTATTAAGTGAATGGTCATTAACTGACCCCATTATGGTCATTAACTGACCCCATTATTTGCTATGCATCCTTTTTGCTGAAAACTGAAAGTTTTTTTACAAAAATGTCCTAAATAGTAGTTGCGTGACCGCAGTCATGTAGACTTGTTGCCAAGAGCTGTAAGTTGAGGACTATCTATATGGTTGTCTGAATACAGGTAGTCCTCGAGTTACAACTCATCACTTAGTGACCGTTCAGAGTGACGACCAAGCTTCCTGGGGTAGCAATAGCAATAACACTTACACTTATATACCGCTTCACAGTGCTTTACAGCCCTCTCTAAGCGGTTCACAGAGTCAGCCTATTGGCCCCCAACAATCCGGGGTCCTCATTTTACCAACCTCGGAAGGATGGAAGGGTGAGTCAACCTTGAGCTGGTCAGGATCAAACTGCTGGCAGTTGGTAGAGTTAGCTTGCAATACTGCCTTCTAAGCACTGCGCCACCACGGCTTTCTACAACCTGGATTAGAAGGTCTGAAGTTGCCCCTCTCCCTGCAGGCACATAACTGCATTTTGGGGCACATGTAGCCGAGCCACATTTATGGCGTCCTGCAGCCACGTGACTGGATTTTATGACATTTTTGCCGAAAACAGGCATTTACTTCCGGTTTTTGGCAGAACCAGCTCTTAGCGAACCACAGATTTGCTTAACAACCACAGCATTCGCGCAACGACCACTGCAAAAATGATCGTAAAAATCTGATCAGTCGTGTGGGTGACCCAGTTTATGACCATCACGATCACACCAAGGCTCCATTACCATTGTGACTCAAGAACGACTCGTAATACATGGGTGAGGGATTCTGGGAGTTGGAGAATAGCTTGATTCCCTCTTCTCAGGGGCTGCCCCAAAGAAGAGGGAGTCAAGCTATTCTCCAAAGTGCCTGAAGGCAGGACGAGAAGCAACGGATGGAAACTAATCAAGGAGAGAAGCAACCTAGAACTAAGGAGAAACTTCCTGACAGTTAGAACAATTAACCAGTGGAACAACCTGCCTCCAGAAGCTGTGACTGCTCCAACACTGGAAGTTTTTAAGAAGAGTCTGGACAGCCATTTGTCTGAAATGGTGTAGTGTTCCTGCCTGAGCAGGGGGTTGGACTCGATGACCTCCAAGGTCCCTTCCAACTTTATTATTATTATTATTATTATTATTATTATTATTATTATTATTATTATTATTATTATTATTATTATTATTATTATTATTATTATTATTATTATTATCTTAAAATTGCCAAGGTTGGAGACACATTGGATTATCATGGTTCCATCCTAAATGGTCTGTGTTTCTACTGTTATTTTTTCTGGAATTTGTGCACCTTCTACTGAGCTTACGGTTGCAATTCTTTGCACGTTTTCTTGTGTGTGTGGCTGTAAAGGGATGGCTAAATTGTTGAGACTCCTATTTTTTAAAGAGATGGCTAAATTGTTGAGACTCCTATTTTTTTTTTCTTAAAAAAAAGTGTCAGGGGAGGGGGGGACATCCAGATTTACTTTTTCTCCTCTCTCCTCCTCCAAAGATGCAACCTTCCAAAGCCTCCAGATGAACCCCAGCCGCCCCCCAGCCAGGAGGCCTGGAACAACCTCCGTGGCACAGCAATAAAGAAGGAAGACAAACGGGTGCACTTCGACATTGATAGCGTCCCAGAGGAATCCTCCGAAGACGAGCGAGCAGGGCCCGTGTGGCATTGCATGAACGGCCAGGACCCCCAGCAGGACAGCAAAGAAGCCAAGGAGAAGGAACTGAAGGAGCTGGAGAGCAAAATTGAAGATATGCGTGAGCAGCTGAGGGTCGCCCTGGTACGGAAGAGTGAGCTCATGGTGGCCCTTGGACCACCCCCGAAAGCTCCTCGGCTGCCCCCCGCCCTGAAGGCATTGATCAGGGAGAGCAAGGAGGACAGGTGATGGAATGGAAGGGGGGGGCTCGAGCTGGACTCTGGACTCATTTTCCTGGTGAAGAATGCCAGTGCGAAGAGCCAAAACCGTGAAGAATAGATACTGGTCGGGAGATGGTTTGTTTTTTCCTAGCTTTCCTTGCCTCCCCCCAGATCAGTTTCCATCCAAGGGGCCATCGTGGGTTGCTGGTCACCCTTATCTGCATGTGGAAAGTCCCACTTAATCCATGTCCATTGAAAAATCCACCAGGATGAGAAAGATGGTGGCAGAGTGGTTGACAAGCAGGCAGGACTAGATACGTTCGGAATCCGAATTATTGATTCATAAATCTTCTAAGTTACCTTCACGGGTCCATCTTCAGTAGGCTGATCGTGACTTTCTGTTCTGTGAGGTCCCGTTGCTGAATTCTGGCACAGGCTTCTCAGAGACTTAGAAGGGGCGCACTTCTTGAGCTTCCGCTAGTCTCTTGAACCTTAGTAGACAGACACAATTTCTAGGGAGCTTCTAAGAACAGGAACTGCTGAATTAAGAGAAGGCTGGGAGAAGGCTAAACCTTCTCATATTCTGGAGAGCAGATTGTTTAAATAATTGTAATAATTGTAATAATAGTTGCAACGTCTCTGCCAGGGAGCCAGGAGCTTGTTTACTGACCACAGCCAGCTAGTCTCCAGGCTGCATAGCCCAAATTGTGGGCAGAGGCGTAGCGTGGGGGCTGCAGGGGGGGCCGGCCGCACCGGGCGCAACATCTGGGGGGGCGCGCTCGCACTCGTAGCTCTCTGCCCCTTCCTGTGCGAATCCGATCCGAGCCGCCGGATCACCGCCCACTGTGGAGGGAGGGGGGGGCGCAGGGGGGGGCGCAAATTCGCGGGGGGGGCGCAAATTACTTGCCTTGCCCCGGGTGCTGACAACCCACGCTATGCCACTGATTGTGGGGCTTGAGTTCAGTTAGCCACATATCAGGTGCAGCCATAGCTAAGTGGAGTTGGGGGGAGGGGCAGGCATTCACTTCCTGGCATCCTCAACAGAGTTTGCTGGATTGATCTTGGAGAAGCTTTTGGAAGACAGGGTAGACAGTGTTGAAGCAAAGGATGCAACATTCCAGCTGATGGGGTGCTTTTCTGATGTTAGCTGGAGGCGTCATCATTTAGTGGTACAGCCCAAAGCTGGTGAAGGAGCACATGGAACAAGCAGAAGGGAGACTTAATTCTTGGAGAGAGGTCTGTTTACATGGAAGGAGCAATATCCCAGCAGTTGGGAGACCCTGGGAGGCATCCCATGGGACAGGGCAACCAAAGATTGCAATAGGTCAGTGATGGCGAACCTTTTAGAGACCGAGTGCCCAAACCGCAACCCAAAACCCACTTATTGATCGTAAAGTCCCAGGGCCGCATCAGCATTGTGGTGCCCTCGGGGTGGGAGGCAGGGAGGTGCCTCTGAGTGCCGCCTCTGGCACGCAAAAACTGGGGGCGCAAAAATGGGCCACTGTGCTGCAAGGTGCAAAAACAGCCGCTGCTGCACTGCGGGGTGCAGATACAAGGCGCTGCACCACACAAGAATGGGGCAGGGCTAGTGAGTATCATGCAGGCACTAGCCCCACCCCATTTGCAGTGCGTGCGTGCTCGCGGCCCCGTGCGTGCATGCATGCATATAAAATACTTCCCCCTCCCTTTTCTTCCAGTCCACCAATCGACAATGGTTGGTGACCTCTGCTCTACCACCTCTACTCGAGCTTGCTAGTCGACTGCTTCCCCTTCTTTGTGCTGAGCAGGGCTCCTGGTCCAGACGGCGGTGGTGGCCTGATGGACCTGCTACTGGTGGCGGTGGCACGCGTGCCACAGGTTTGCCACCACTGACACGCGTGCCATAGGTTTGCCACCACTGCAATAGGTCGTGTAATGACATCATCAAAGTGGACAGAAGTAGGATTCCTGGAGGAGAGGGGAGGGGAGGGGAAGGGAGAGAGAGAGAGGAGAGGTGGGGAGACACATTGGATAAGCTTAAAAGAAAATGTATATGCCCTTGGGGCATATTTATTATTCCCTCCGTCGTCCTGATTTTATTTCTCAGTAATTTTCCACCAAAATTTGGCTGTGTAATTTTGAGAGGGTGGGCCTAAAGAATAGCTTCAGAGGGACCTGCCAATCTCTCATTTGCCCTGATCTCAGCAGGGGCTGATTTGATAGAAAAGCTTCGGCCAATTGGACTCAGGACAAGGCAGAGGGACTCCGTGCTTCCCTCCTCTCCCCTCAGCCAGTTCTGGACGATAACAAGGAGAGAGCAGCCTTCCTTGAAATGGATGGAAGTTTAGCAAAGAGAAACCCAACCTAGAACTAGGCCAGGGGTAGGTAACCTGGGCTCTTTTATGACTCGTGGCCTTCAACTCCCAGAATTCCTGAGCCAGCCATGCTGAGGGGAAAGGGAGAGGTTTCCAAGCTGAGCCATGCTGGCTCAGGAATTCTGGGAGTCCATGAGTCATAAAAGAGCCAAGGTTGCCTACCCCTGGACTAGACCAGGGCTTTTCAACCTTTTCACCCATTGTACCACCTTTAGGATATGGCAGCATCCGAGTACCACCAGTCGCCTAGCAAGGTGTCAAAAACTTGATAACCAAAAAAAAAAAAAAGGAAAAAAGTGATAGTACAGATAGTCCTCGACTTACAACAGTTCGCTTAGTGACTGTTCGAAGTTACAATGGCACTGAAAAAAGTGCCCCCCAAGCCACAGCCGAGCAAGACACCTGCCTGCCCACCTGGCAGCGCTCTTCCTCCTGTCCGAGGTTTTCATTGTTGTGAGCATTTCTGTTGAGGATTGACAGTGGAGGTGGGGTGGGGGGTGTTTGGTTTTTATTCCCGTCTGCTGGGTGGTTGCAGCAGGTTTTGGTCATGTCACATGACCCTGGGACACTGTGACCGTCATAAATATGAACCAGTTGCCATTCATCTGAATGTAAATCACAAGACCCTGGACATAAGGCAACATTCCAGTTGATTGGTGCTTCTTCAGGACTCAGCAAGAGTCTGGCGCTGATCCTGGCGCTTCCACCGAGCCCTGACAGTCCCGAAGAAGCACCGATCAGCTGGAAAGCGGCACTGATCCTGGCGCTTCCGCTGAGCCCTGACAGCCCTGCAGCTCCAGCCATCTCTCGCTCAGGCTTGTGCGGTGCTGCCACCGGTTCAGCTCATTCCCCTCCCCCGCTACCACTTTTCTAGGATGGTCGCATACCACCTGCCAGGTGCCAATGTACCACGGGTGGTACCCGTACCACTGGTTGAAAAGCCCTGAAATAGGGAGACACTTCTTGACAGTGAGGACAATTAACCAGTGGAACGGCTTTGCCTTCAGCAGTTGTGGGTGCTCCATCACTGGAGGTTTTTAAGAAGAGACTGGACAGCCATTTGTCCGGAGTGCTATAGGATCTCCTGGGGTCCTCTCCTGATATTCCAGGAGAACAAAACTCAGAATCCCAATCAAAGCTTGAGAATATGGGAGCTGCCATCTCCAACACATCAAACGGGCACAAGAAGGGATGAATAAGCAGAGCAGCTACCAACTGGAGTCACTCCGTTTAAGGCAGCCTCAGGGTTCGCTTTTTGTATCTGGCCCCGGAATTTTTTTTCTTCCTGACTTTACCAGCAAACTGGCAGAGTCTGAAAATGTTTACAGGTGGTCCTTCACTTATGACTGTAATTGAGCCCTGAATTAGTCATAAGTAGTTGCGGTCGTAACTGGAGGCAACCTATGACCAGACCTGATTTTTGTCTACATTTTTTTGCAGCCATCATTAAGCAAACAGTGCGGTCATTAAACGATTCAATTTTATCTGATGAGGGTTTTTTTGTTGGAAGCTGGAAGTAAATGCCAGAAATCATCAAAACACACTGCAAATCATGCCCACGTGACTGCGGGATGCTGCAAACAGCCATAAAGATGAGTCAGTCGTCAAATGCCCAAAATGCAATTATGTGATTGTAAGTTTGTGTCTGTGTGTGTGTGTGTGTGTGTGTGTAGCTGTTGTAACTTTGAAAATGGGTCAGAAATAGCGTTTTGGAAGGTCCATCATAACTCTGAACACACATTAAACAACCGGTCATAAATTACCAAGGATTACCGATATTGCTATGGGATTGCACTGGTGGGCTCCAACTGTCCTTAGAAATTTCCCCCTTTTAATTAGGCAAAAAATCAGTGTAAAATATTCTTATTTTTGGTGGGCAGAAAGCCAACGGGAGGGGGGTCTGAAATCCCATTTGTCCTCTGAACATTGGCCAGTTGGGGGGCAGAGCAAGAAAATTATAGAGCCCAGTGAATAGCACCTTATCACGGAAAGTACAGTAGAAAATCAAACTGGGAGAGAGAAGAGAGGGGTTTGAATATGTTTTGTCTTCTCCTTTATAAAATATGCAGTGCACCTTCAGGATCTTACCTGCAGCTCAGGTTCAGCAAAGGTTTCATTCAGGTGAGCTCTGGGGAAAATGGATGAGATACTGCAGAGCTGGGCTATAGCACATTTCACACATAGCAGAGATTTGCTGTATCCAGTTTGGCTTAGGTGCAATTTCTTTATGTAGGTTAACAGTCTGCCAACTCGTGAAGCCTTTTCTGTTTAAGTTGCTGGGATGGGAAGAGGTTTTTGCGGATTGGAAGGAACCACGTTCTGATCTAGCAGCTTAGTTTTAACAAGCTGAGCTTTTGATTGTCAAATGAGAATTGGAAGAACTTTGCATTGTAGCTCAGGTTTTTTCGGATCAGAGAGCAACTAAGACTGTTCCTGAAAAAAAAAATCTCTTTTTCTTGATAGTATTATTTATAGAAAACATGGATCAAGCCCTGGTTCTCCATCGTGATTTTCTGCAAACTAACATACTTCTATTTGAGGAAAAGGAGACTGTAGCTCCTCATGTTTCCCCATTGCTGTCAATTGTATTTTTGCTTTTTTTATTTTGCAGCAAGGGAGACTGTTGGTAAGTTAATGAACCAATTTGCATTATGTATTATTTAACCTATTGTAC